ACAGCCCGACCAGCCCCCCTGTTGCCCCTTACTTCTGACCCACAGCCCCCCGTGCTCCCCACTCCCGACCTGCAGCCTCCCCCAGTGCTCCTCACTCCCAACCTGCAACCCCCCCGCCCGGCCGATCCCCCCCCGACCCGCCAGCCCCCCCGGCCCGGCCAGTCGCCCCTCGGTGCCCCTTACTCCCGACCCGCAGCCCCCCCCAGCCCGACTGCTGCCCCTCACTCCCGACCTGCAGTCGCCTCTCCGCGCTGGGCAAGAAAATGGACCTGGTAGCGGAACCCAGGAGTCCTGGGTACAAGGGGTCGGGTAGGACTGGCCTATTACCTGACTGTCCCGCCCCCTGAGCATCTCACAGTGTTTGTACCCTCCCGACACCCCCTGTGTGAGAGGCCGGGGCTCGTTATCCCCTCCTATAGAGAGGGAAACCGAGGCACGGAGACCCAGAGGACGCGCCTTTCCCAGGGCCTGTGCCAGGGCCTGCAATAGAAGTTGGGCTCCTCAGGCCCTGGACCAGCACCCACTAATGCCCACCCAGAGAGCCTGAAGAATTGGCTCCATGAGCTGGCAGCAGTAGTAGGTTGTTATCCTGTTCCAGCTGGGATGGCTGTGAAGGGAAGGGTGGGGGGAGGTAGGAGGAAATGTGGGATTGTGGGTAAATTCAGGGCTGAAGGAATGGGGAAGTGCAGCTCCCTCGAATATCAGGGTTGGAAGAGACCTCAGGATGTTCTAGTCCAACCCCCTGTTCAAAGCAGGACCAATCCCCAACTAAATCATCCCAGCCAGGGCTTTGTCAAGCTGGGCCTTAAAAACCGCTACGGATGGAGATTTCACCACCTCCCTAGGGAACCCATTCCAGTGCTTCACCACCCTCCTATTAGGAAATAGTGTTTCCTAATATCCAACCTGGACCTCCCCCACTGCAATGTCAGAGCATTGCTCCTTTTCTGTCATCTGCCCCCACTGAGAACAGCCGAGCTCCATCCTCTTTGGAACCCCCTTTCAGGTAGTTGAAGGCTGCTATCAAATTCCCCCTCATTCTTCTCTTCTGTAGACTAAACAATCCCAGTTCCCTCAGCCTCTCCTCGTAAGTCATGTGCTCCAGCCCCCTGATCATTTTCGTTGCCCTCTGCCAGACTCTCTCCAATTTGTCCACATCCTTTCTGTAGTGGGGGGCCCAAAACTGGATGCAATACTCCAGATGCGGCCTCACTAGTGACAAACAGAGGGGAATAATCACTTCCCTCGATCTGCTGGCAATGCCCCTACTTATACAGCCCAATATGCCATTGGCCTTCTTCACAACAAGGGCACACTGCTGACTCATATCCAGCTTCTTGTCCACTGTAATCCCCAGGTCCTTTTCTGCAGAACAGCCGCTTAGCCATTCGGACCCCAGCCTGTAGCGGTGCCTGGGATTCTTCCATCCTAAGTGCAGGACTTTGCACTCGTCCTTGTTGAACCTTATCAGATTTCTTTTGGCCCAATCCTCCAATTTGTCTAGGTCCCTCTGTATCCGATCCCTACCCTCCTGCGTATCTACCACTCCTCCCAACTTAGTGTCATCCGCGAACTTGCTGATGGTGCAATTCATCCCATCCTCCAGATCATTAATAAAGATGTGAACAAAACCAGGACCGACCCTTGGGGCACTCCGCTTGATACCGGCTGCCAACTAGACATGGAGCCGTTGATCACTACCCGTTGAGCCCGACGATCTAGCCAGCTTTCTATCCACCTTACAGTCCATTCATCCAGCCCATACTTCTTTAACTTGCTGGCAAGAATACTGTGGGAGACCGTATCAAAAGCTTTGTTAAAGTCAAGATATATCACGTCCACTGCTTTCCCCATATCCACAGAGCCAGTTATCTCGTCATAGAAGGCAATCAGGGCATGACTTGCCCTTAGTGAATCTATCCCCCACCGCCCCCAATTTATCCATCCCCGCCCAAGGAGTATCATGAACCCACCCACGTTGTTCCCCGGGGTTCTTTCAACCCAAAGCTCTTGGTAATTTTTACTCAGTGCGAGGTGGTGTCAAGAAATAAATCAGGGGAGACACGGCCATCCGACCGATAGATGGCTGGCACACACAGGACAACACTTAAACTTAAAGCTAAACTTTACTTAATCTCAATCACTCACACACGTCCGCAACAGGTTAGTAAAACACCCCCAACCCTTGATAATTACCAAAGCTGAGTGTCGCTCTCGAATGGCACAACGGCAGGCTTCGTCAGCCAAATCTTCCGTCCGCCAGTGGGGACCCCTGAGATGCGTCCTGAGGGAGCGTCCCTGAAGAAAGCCTCCCGAACAGTCCAACTAACGCAAACTTCCTCCCCTTATTTATACATTAGCACTAGGATGACATGTCACTTAAAGAAAACTTGCTAGGCAAGTGATTTTTAAGAGTCAATCAAGAGGTTTCCTTCTGATCATTAATTTAACCAGATGTGGGGGTTTTTAGAGGGCACATGCCTTCATGCCCTGATAGACAGATTCCTGTTTTTCTAAAATACAAGTCTCAGCAATTTCAACGTTCTTAGCAGGAAGGGCGGAGGGTGAAGCCGCCCTTTCCATGGTACCCAAAACCCCCTCCCCTCCTGCCTTGGTTAAGCTAAGCCTGCTGACTTGGCTACTGTTAGCAATAAGCCATAGTGATTCGGGCACTTTACTGGTTTGCCAAGATCTCCCCGAACGACATCTCCGGCGCCCACTATGGGCCGGAGCAGGAAGTGCAGAACGAGGCGCCTGGCAGAGCTCGGAGAGGCGCCCGGAGGAACCTGCTGGAGCCCCAAAGAAGGAGAATCCGCCCGGGCTGCCGGCTGCCAGGAGAGACGTCTGAGGACAAAGGTACCGTCCTGCAGAGGGGCAGGACTTTTGGGTTCTCCCCCTGGCTCAGGGAGGGGAGTGGGGTCTAGTGGTTAGAGCAGGGGGAGGAGGCGCTGGGAGCCAGGACTCCTGGGTTCTCTCCCCCAGTGACCCCGTGCCCTGTCCCTGCAGCGGAAGCCCCATCTGGCATCGGGGACCTGGTTCTGGCAGCTGAACTGATGGAGATGGCCGGAGTGTCCCCCTGCTATGCCCAGCACCGGGGCGGGACCCAGCCGGCCGTGCAGCACGACCATGGGGCCTACGGCGTCCCCCAGGAGCCGGCTGCGCTGGGCCGCATGGTGCGGGAGCTGCAGGAGACGGTGCATCGGCAGAACCAGCTGCTGCAGAGCTCGCAGGAGGCCCTGGCCGCCAGCCAGGAGCGCTGCCAGGAGCTGCAGGTGAGGGGCGAGGCACTAGGGGGCGCAGTGCTGCAAGGCGAGGGCATCATTCCCATACCCCACCCCAGAGTCAGCCGCATCCCAGCGCCGGGCGGGGGTCCCCGGATCCCCAGCCCCTGCGCCCCACTCCAGATGGGCTGGGCGAGGGGGCCCCGGATCCCCAGCCCCTGCGCCCCACTCCAGATGGGCTGGGCGAGGGGGCCCCGGATCCCCAGCCCCTGCGCCCCACCCCAGATGGGCTGGGCGAGGGGGCCCCGGATCCCCAGCCCCTGCGCCCCACCCCAGATGGGCTGGGCGAGGGGGCCCCGGATCCCCAGCCGTGTCTCTGGCTCTGCGTGCCGTAGGAGAGGTCGGAGAGCGAGTGCTGGGCGCTAGCGTCGGAGCTGGGCCAGCGGATCACGGCGCTGGAGGCGGAGAACCGGAACCTGCGGTGCGAGCGGGACCAGCTGGAGAGCCAGACGCAGGGGCTGCGGGAGGAGCTGGAGCGGAGCCGCAGCACGGTGCTGCACATCAGCCAGAAGCTGAAGGAGCAGGGGGGCCGGGCCGGGCCGGGCCGGTTCTGCCTGGCCAGCGTCCGGGACGACGGCAAGTGGCTGCGGTTCTACACCGGCTTCGGCAGCGCCCAGCGCCTGGCCGCGTTCCTGGCCTTCCTGACGGAGGGGGAGCCGCAGCGGGGGGCCGAGCCGGGCCCCCCCAGCGCCCTGAGCCCCGAGGACCAGCTCTTCCTGGTGCTGGTGCGGCTGCGGCTGGGGCTGCTCCTGCAGGATCTGGCCTTTCGCTTCCACCTTTCCGAGGCCACCGTCTCCCGCTACTGGCTCGGCTGGACCCAGCTCATGGAGACCCGGCTGGCCCAGGTGAGCCCCCACCCTGGGGCCGGCGCCCCCTAGGGGGACAGGCCCCGGGCCCCATTCCCCACCCCCTGAGCCAGCCAGTCCCTGTCCTGGGGCAGGATGGGAGCCGGCGCCCCCTAGAGGGGAGCAGGGGAGAATCTGTGTGCAGAACAGATTGGAGGGACTGGTCCACCCCTCACATGGGGAGGGGGCATTGCTTGGAGGGGTGCCCCCCCCAGGGGCAGGGGTTGCCTGGAGGGACTGGTCAGCCCCCCCATATGGGGATCACATGGGAAGGGGGTGTGACCTGGAAGGACAGTCCCCCACCTGGGAAGGGGGAGTGGCCTGGAGCCCCCCCACCTCCCAGCAGGGCCTGACTCTCCCGCCCCCTCTCCCGCAGGTGCCGGTGCGGTGCAGCCCGCGCTACGTGGAGCGGTTCGAGCCGCAGCGGGCGGCGCGGGTTGGGGGCGTCCCGCTGGTGGTGCTGGACTGCGCCCAGCTCTGCTTCGAGGGCCGGGGCCGGCAGCTCTACGCCCTGCAGGGCTGCGCCCTGGCCGCCCCCAGCGGCTTCCTGGCCTTCTGCTGCAGCGCCGCCTTGCGGGGCAGGGAAGGGGGCCGGGGCTGCCCCCCTTCCTGCGGGACGGCCCCGTGGCCCTCAGCGCCCAGCAGGGGGAGGCCAGCCGGCAGGTGCTCAGCCTGGCCAGCCTGGCCGACAAGGCCCTGCGCTTCCGCTTCCTGCGGGGGGTCCAGCCCCCCGCCATGGAGGGCCAGGTGGGGCGGGCCTGGGCCATCTGCTGCTACCTGGCCTGCCTGCTGCATGAGCCCATGGGGCTGGCCTAGGCAGGGGGGTCTGCCTCTGCCCCCAGGGGGAGGTGGGCCTTGGGGATTCCCCGCCTCCCCCCATGGCTGGCAGGTGTGGGGCTGGTACAGGGGCCCTGGATTCCCCCCTGCCAGTGACTGGGGGGAAGGGAGATCTGGGGGTCATCCAAGGGGGCTCACTGGGGGTCCTGCTCTCAGCTGTAGCTGATCTATGTGGCAGCCTGGATAGGGCATTTGGCCCCGCAATGCCCCCTCTTGGGGGGGTCCACACTGGGAGGGGGCTATGGGTGGGGGAGGGGCCGAGCCCTCCCCCTGATTCCCGCCCACGAAGGCAGGAGGATGGGATGGTATCGGGGCGCTGGAGGCAGCTGGATCCCTCTCATTCCCCCTTCCACACAGGGGCGGGTAAAGCGAGGCACAGAAAGACCATGCTCAGCCCAGGGTGGAGGCAGCGATAGAACCCAGGAGTCCTGACTCCCAGGACCCCACCCCCCCTTTGCTCTAACCACTAGTCCAGACTCCCCTCCTAGAGTCAGGGAGAGAAATGGTGTCAAGTGGTTAGAGCGCACTGGGGCTGGGAGCCAGGACTCCTGGGTTCTGTCCTCAGCTTTGCTGCTTCTGTTTCCCACTTTTTCTCCCCCTCCTGCCCAGCTGGTCCTGTCCCCGGGCTCCAGCCATTTTGGGGTGCCTGGAGAGGGGAGGCAATTCCCCACCTTTGCCAAACGGGGGGGGGGAGGGGGGGCTGCAGGGCCACTGGCCCCAACCCTGCTGCTCTCTGTCTGGGTGGGTTCGTGGATTATTTGTAACCTGTCCCTGCTTTTGGTTGGAAATAAACCATTTGTTCCTGGGAACGGCGGTGAGGAGACATCCATGAGCAGGGCCCCCCCTCCAATAAGCCACCTGTATTGCAACCTATGCCCTCCCTGGGGACACAGCCCTGCCCCACAGCCATGGGGAGCAGGAGAAAGCCCTGGGCCCCTCCCTTGAGAGAGCAGGATTGTGGGTTCTCTCTCTCCCAGGCTCTGGGAGGGGAGTGGGGTCTAGTGGTTAGAGCATGTCCTGGCCCCAGCTCTCCCCGGGGGTAAGTTGGCTGGAGGGGCAGGGCACTGGCCACTTGCAGCATAAGTGAGGCACCTGCTGGGCTCTTCTCTGCCCCACTGACTCCAGCAGAGCCCTGGGGCCAAACAGATGGTGGGTGGGTGGGTGGGTGTGTGAGAGAGAGTGCGCGCGCGACACAGCTCACCAGCCCCAAGCAGCCCACAGACCCCCGGGAGGAGCCTGAGCCCCATTGGAAGGGCAGCTGCCCCCAAAACCTAGCCCTGCCCCTCTCACAGCTGTTGTCTGTAGGAGAGGGACAGGGGCAAATACAGACACTATTGCAACCTGGGGCGGCCCAGGGGCTACTTATCCAGAGACCCCTCCCCTGGTGCTGAGACGCAGCCCCAAGGCAGTGGAGCTGGTTATCCAGGGATTCCTCATCTGCTGAGATGGGGCATGGCCCAGGGGCTGGGTATATGGGGTCCCCTCCCCTGGCGCTGAGACATGGCCCCTCTGGGGCAAGGGGGGGCTGGGTATATGGGGGTTCCCCCCGGGACATGGCCCCTCTGGAATGGGGTGTGGGGGCTGGGTGTAACGGGGACCCCTCGCCCTGCACTGGGACATGGCCCCTCGGGAATGGGGTGTGGGGGCTGGGTATACGGGGACCCCTCGCCCAGCGCTGGGACGTAACCCCTGTGGGTTAGTGGGGGGGAAGACACCGCCCCGCAAGCAAACACAGCAGACACCAGCCCACGGTTCTGACCCATTTATTGGACACAGGCAGGTGCGGGCCGGCGCCCTTAGTTCTTGTAGGCCCGGCTGGCGCGGCGGCCCCGAGCCCGCTCGAACTTCCGCCCCTTGGAGCGCACGTAGGGCCTGCAGGGAGGGGAGAGAGGGGTTAGCACTGCCCCCCATGCCAGGGATTCCCCCCCTCAGCTCAGGCCCAGTTCACAGGCTGCCCCCTGCCCGCTCTCCAGGGGTGGAAGGCCCAGGGGGCACCCTGCAGCGAGGTGCCCGCAGGAGCTGGGCACACGGCTGGTGCCGGCTCCAGGGGCAGCACAAGGGGGCGTTGTTTTCAGACATGACCCAACGCATTAGTGGGGCAGGTCACAGGGCTCTAGTGTCTCTGGGAGTCCTGGCTCCCCCTCCCCCCATAGCCGGGGAGAGAACCCAGGAGTCCTGGCTCCCAGCCCCGCAACCACCAGACCCCACTCCCCTCCCATAGCGAGGGACAGAACCCAGCAGTCCTGACCCCCACAAGAACATGATCCACTCTGGGGATATGCCTCTATTACCCGGCCTTCCCCCCAGCCAGGGGTCATGCTCAGCCCAGCTGGGCCAGGCACAAGAAGCGGGACCTGGAGCAGGGGCGGGAGGGGGTTTGCACTCACTTGGTGTGACTGTGGGGGGTGCCAGGGGCCTTGCCAAAGTGCCGGTACACCTCGCGTCCCTTCCTGGGCCCTGTGGGGAGACAGCGTTACACCAACAGTGACCCCTCGCATGGGGGCGCAGCCCCCCCCACCCCAACTCCCAGGAAAGGCCCGAAGGGAAGGACATGGCCTTTGCCTCAGAGAGAGCGCAAGGAGGGCTGCTCCAGCCACCAGCCTACAGGGGCAGCCTGGCCCTATGCAGAGCTCGGGGGCCAGCAACTCCATGTGCCAGGGCACGGCGGTGAGAGCCCCGTTCTTCTGCGCCAGAAGCCCCCCCACAGCTGTGCCCAAGGCAACTCCCAGGCCAGGCAGGGTAGAGCTTGACTTTAGGGAGGCTTCTGATACTGTCCCGCAGACCTGATCATGCACAAAGTAGGGAAAGCCAACCTAGATGGAGCTACTATAAGGGGGGTGCAGAACTGGTTGGAAAACCGTCCCCAGAGAGTAGTGATCAGTGGTTCAGTCAGCCTGGAAGGGCTGAATGAGTGGGGTCCCGCAGGGATCGGTTCTGTTCAATATCTGATTTACATAATGGCATAGAGAGAACACGGATAACATTTGCGGACAATACCAAGCTGGGAGGAGTTGTGAGCGCTTTGGGGGACAGGATTAAAATTCAAAATGATCTGGACAAACGGGAGAAATGGTCTGAAGTCCATAGGATGAAATTCAATAAGGACAGGGGACTGGACTCGAACTCTCGAGGTCCTTTCCAGTCCTAGAATCTATGAAATGCAAAGTGCTCCACTTAGGAAGGAACAATTAGTTGCACACATACAATGACTGCATCCGATGAAGTGGGTTTTAGCCCACGAAAGCTTATGCTCAAATAAATGTTAGTCTCTAAGGTGCCACAAGTACTTCTGTTCTTTAAACTGGGAAACGACGGCCTAGGAAGGAGTACGGCAGAAAAGGATCCGGGGGACCACAACAGTGTAACGCTGCTGCAAAAAAAGCAAACATCCTTCTGGGATGTATTGGCAGAAGTGTTGTGAGCAAGACACGAGAAGTAATTCTTCCGCTCTACTCCGCGCTGATTAGGCCTCAACTGGAGTATTGGGTCCAGTTCTGGGCGCCACATTTCAGGAAAGACGTGGAGAAATTGGAGAAAGTCCAGAGAACGGCAACAAAAATGATTAAAGGTCTTGAAAACATGAGCTATGAGGGAAGACTGAAAACATTGGGTTTGTTTAGTCTGGAGAAGAGACGACTAGACTGGGAGGCGACAGGATAACAGTTTTCAAGTACATAAAAGGTTGTAACAAGGAGGAGGGAGAAAAATTGTTCTTATTAACCTCCGAGGATAGGACAAGAAGCAATGGGCTTAAATTACAGCAAGGGCGGTTTAGGTTGGACATTAGAAAAAACTTCCTGCCAGGGTGGTTAGGCACTGGAATAAATTGCCCAGGGAGGTTGTGAAATCTCCATCACTGGGGATTTTTAAGAGTAGGTTGAACAAACACCTGTCAGGGATGGCCTAGATAATCCTTCATCCTACCATGAGTGCAGGGGGCTGGACTAAATGACCTCTCGAAGTCCCTTCCAGTTCTATAATTCTATGTAGGGCCCCTCGCCTGGGGCGGCCAGCTCTGGGGTGGGGCGTGGGGGCTGAGTATACAGGGACCCCTTGCCCAGCGCAGAGACGCAGCCCCACTGGGGTGGGTCACGGGGGCTGGGTACACAGGGACCCTATACCCAGTGCTGGGACACAGCCCCTCTGGGGTGGAGCGCGGGGGCTGGGTACACAGGGACCCCTCGCCCGGCGCTGGAACACGGCCCTTCTGGGGTGGGGCAGGTCAATTTCAACAGCACTAACAGTGCAGGCCCCAACACCCCACCCTGTTCAAACTGGCTGCCCGGGGACAGCACCCCCTGCTGAGCCCTGGCCCTGCAGCCCAGCTGCCCCCCGGCCCTGCAGCCCAGCTGCCCCCCGGCCCTGCAGCCCAGCTGCCCCCCGCTGCCTGTTGCAGGTTGTGTGGGGCAGGGCCGGTGCCTGTCCCAGCAGAGGGCGTGGGAGGACTCACCCGAGAGCAGCACGGTGCCCTGGCCCTTAGGGGCTGCCATGGCCAGCTGGTCAAAGGTCATGATCTGACCCCCTGCCTTCAGGATGCGACTGCGGGCTCCTTGGGTCACTCGCAGGGCACAGACCTGCCAGGAGAGACGGGTCAGTGACAGCCCCAGTGCTGGCCCCCAGCCCTCCCCACCCCACTCCCCTCCCAGAGCTGGGGAGAGAATCCAGGAGTCCTGGCTCCCCCCACCCCCCCATTCCCCTCCCAGAACCAGTTTCACCTTCAGCTTGGGGATGTCGTGGATGCGGATGTCGTCGGTGACGGTTCCCACCACCACGGCCGTCTTGTTATCCCGCCCCGGGAGCTTCATCTTGCGGATCTGGGGCAGGAAGGGGGCAGAAGCTCAGTGAGACCCCCCGACTCTGGGCAGTGCCCCCTGGGACATGGCCCTCCCCGGACACGCTGTCAGTATCTCCAGGGTACAGGGACTCAGGCAGGAGGAGAACCCAGGAGTCCGGATGTCGAGTCAAATGGAACAGCACAGGGGTCGAGGGACGCAGGTAGGGCCGGCCCGTCAGGGGCCGCAGGACGGGGTGTAGGGCCGTCAGGGGCTGCGGTCGAGGGGCACCAGCAGACCCCCCCCTCCCCCCAGTCCCCACTTACCATGCGGGAGAGGGAGAGCGGCGGGCGGTTGGTGCGGCTCATGAAGAGGCGTTTCAGGACGACCTTGTTGAAGCGGGAGCTGGTGCGGCGCGCCAGGAAACGGTACAGCTGGGGGGGGACACGGCCGTCAGGGGGAGCTCTTCGCCCCACCCCGCAGGCACCCAGGGGAAACTGAGGCAGTGAAGGGCTCTACTGGCTGCGCTTGCACAGGTCACATCAGTCAGCGGCAGAGCCGAGCACAGAACCCAGGTGTCCTGGCTCCCAGCCCCCCCTCCCCTTCCCAGAGCCAGGGACAGATCCCAGGAGTCCTCACTCCCCACTCCCCACCCCCCTCCCCCAGCGGAGAGAACCCAGGCGTCCTGGCGGGGGGCACGTTACCTTGACCAGCAGGCGCAGGTAGATGTCCTGGCTCTTGGGCTCCGTGCGGCGGACCTTGCGGTCCTTGTTGTGTCGGATATCGACACCCTGGGGGGGGGCAGACACCGTCAGGGCCCCTGCCTCAGTGTCCCCCCCAGGACTCCCCAAGCTATGGGTCTGAGGGGTGCCCCGACTCTCCCATGCACCCAGTACCCCGTAAGTCACCCCATCCCCTGCTGCCGCTGCCCCAACAGCCACTGCTCCCAGGCAAATTAGAACCCCCCCCACCCCAGGGTGCCCTCTCCCCCCAGCTCCTCATGCTCCCCCAGTCCCCAGGTCCTCCCTTCCTCATCCTGCCCCTTATGGGGTGAACCCCCCCAGCCTCCCCCGAACAGCCCACCCACCAGTGCCACCCCTCCTCTCAGACCCTATGCCCCACAGTACCCCCCACACTGGGTGCCCTCTATATCCTCCCCCGCTGGGTGCTCCCCCCCACACCAGGTAACCTCCATGCCCTCTGCTCCACAGGTCCCCCCAACCCCCACCCCACTTGGTGCCCCATGTGCCCCCTCACCTCCTCTTATATGACCCCCTTCCCAGCCTCTGCACAAGGTACCCCCCCAACCCCCACTGGTATCCCCCCACCCCCGCTAGGTGCCCCCCGTACCCTCACCCAACCGGGTGCCCCCCCATCTCCCTCCCCGTACAGGGCACCCCCACCACGGCTGGGTGCCCCCCATCCCCGCTAGGTGCCCCTTGTACCCTCCTCCACTCCCCACCCGGAACCCCCCCCCCCCCCTCCCCCCCCCCCCCCCCCCCCCC